CTTGTCTGAGAGAATAGCAATAGCACACCTGGCCCCACAGGGACACCACCTACTTTACACAGTATGGGCAGAATCTTGGTGCATGCTCCTGTGATGGGGAAGGGAAGCATTCAGGTGCCCTTTATGGGCATACGTAGCTCACATTCCCTGTCCTTGAGGTGCCTGGTGAATGTGGGCCAGGAGTCTGGGCTTGAGCAAGTATGTAGGAGGTACTGGTTAGAGTGTGGAGGGGTTGTACCATTGGGAAGCTCAGGAAGAGCTTGCAGTTCTGGTGGCCCATAGGCTACATTTGGGGGAATGGAAGCCTAATTCTCAACTGGCCACAACTCATTGCATCATCATTCTGCCACCAAGCCTCCATGCTCCACCAGCAGCTGCTGCCCCATCTCAAATCTCCTGGATACCTATGTACCTGCAAGATAGTGACAGGAAAGTTTTGAAGGAAATGGGGATTCAAGGAGTTACTAGACTGTGTAGGCATTTACTCTACCTTTATCCATCTTGACCCTTCACATGTTCCTTCCCCATTGGAAGGACTTCTACATTGTCCTAGGGAGTACTTTCAAATCATCTCCAGCTGCATGCTTGCACAAGATATCCATTTCCTCTTTCTTTTATTCTTTTCCACTTTGGAGAAATTGCTCCAGCTTCTCAAATTTTTCCAACATGCATTTTCCAGGGGATTCATCCAGAATTCAGGTTGTTTATACTGGAGTCTTCCCTAAAGGTTGCCCTCTTTTTACTTTGCTGGACTCTGAGCTCTGCCACTGTTACTAAACAGTTTGTGGTGCTTTAAAATGATTTCACCACTTTTCCAATTAAGCTATCCCATTTCTAAACTTCCTAAGATGTCCTCAATACATTATGCAGACATGGCAATATAGAACATAGCTCTCAAACTTCAGTTCCCTGGAGGCTTCTAATATAGTGGATTTGGAGTATATCCTGGGATTTTATATTTCTAAAATGTGCCCAGATGGAGTACTATTGCCAGTGAGTGGATTGTGCATATGTAAACACTTGATGCTCAGTCTTTAGCACACAGCAGATGTGCCTTGAGGGCTTCATTAAGACACACTGAGTGGGCCCCTCCTACATAGGTTCTGAGGTTGGAATTCAGAGTGAATCTCCAGAAGTTGCCTTTCCAGCAAGCTACCCAGTGATAATTATGCTGGTTTATTGGTTTGTGGACCACATTTGTGGGCCATTGGTTAAACCGTGAGTACATGACTAAATTGATACCAGAAAAATGAGCAAGCCTAGAAAAACTGGTGTGAAATCACAGAACTCTGCTATGACCCTACCTCTATTCCAGGCCTAATCAAATGTCCCTCTCTATATATCAACACCTCAGACAAGGATTTGCTTTATCTCCCTCTGGAAATGTCCATATTCTTCCTTAAATGTATCTGCATTTCAAAATAGATCTCTCCAAATCTCTGAAAAGACAAATGATGTTATTCTTTTCTGTCATGCACACCAAAAATCCCACTTTTTCTGAGTTGATGTTCCTCTGTCTCTAAAATCTCCTCCCATTACATAACCTCATATACCAAGAGTAAGACTTCAGCATTGAAATTGTTTTTTATATTTTGGGTTCTGGTACCACATATATCAATGGGGAGAAGGTATGATTTTTTTTCAAATAGGCAAAAAACAAAACAAATGAAAAAACAAGTTTGGGGCACATGTCTGAAGGTAAGGCATTTGAGAGGCTGATCCAGGAGACTCTCCTGTTTCAAGCCAGTCTAGGCATATCAGCAATACCCTGCCTCAAAACTAAACATATGAATAAATAAGGGAGATGTGTTCAGGGAAGATGGCAGCGAATGGAGTGCATCACCCCTATGTACCGCGTCACTGCGCGGGTGAATGACGAGTTAGAACAGCCAAAAGCTATCTTGTTAGGAATTTCCAGCAAAATTGAGGTGCACCGAAACCTACAGGAAGGATTTCCATCGCCCGAGGATGGGTTACTGGGGCTCAACCGTTAGTGATTTTATCTGCCCGGAGATTCAAGCTGCTCATTCACTGGCTCGTCCCGCTGCTAGAGACTTYGGTGCGCGCTGGGAAATGGCGTCCATAGAAACTGTGAACTAGCAACACAGAGAAACGGCGCTGCTGATTCTGCAGGCTCCTGCCGGCTGTGCCATCACTGTGCTCAGTGATGAATTCTGGGTTTGAGACAGGGGAAGGAAGTGGTCCAATTTTGTCCTCCACACCAGTCAGACCACCAAGGAAGCCAGCAGCCACCATCTCGGAGAGCTGACGTCACCATCGCCAGTTTTCCACTGATTGCAGCTCATTCAGCAATAGAACAGGTTTGTGACATTTAGCCCATCTCCCATACAGCGGGGAAATCACATAAAATCCTTCCCCAGCTTTCTGGAGGCGCGATTAACAGAGTGAGCGTGAGTAGAGGTGTGGGGGGAAGGTAAAGGCACCTGACCTCCAACTCCTCCCTCCCACCAGCGGCGAAAACGAAACCTGTTTCGCCAGCTCTGGGAGGAGGGGCTAGCGGAGGGCATCAAAACAATAAGGTGCCGGTTCCCAAAAGCTGTGCTCCATGTCCAGGAAACTGCAGGCACAGAGTGTAGTTTGAACTGCCGAGAGGTATCACACTGGAAAAGGCCGGCTGACAGGAGAAGCCAGGGGACTAGAAACCAGAAATAAACCTAAGCTAACAGGTTTTGAGAGACACCAGTCGGGGGAGGAGGGAGCGGCCTCACACGGATTGTTTCCTACAGCCGGAGGGCAAAATCTTGGCCCGGAAGTCACAGCACCACCTACTGGAAGWGAAGAAAATAGAAGCCTAACAGTGTCCCTTTTTTCTTTTAATTTTTTTTAAAAAATTTTTAACCTTAATTTTTATTTCCTACAATTATACTACTATTTTTTAAAGTAATTTTTATTTTACTGCATTTTATTATTTTTTATTACCATTTCCTTTTCTTTTCTATTCTCTCTTTCTTTCCTCTCTCCCTCTCTCTTTCTTGGTTTGCTTCCTTACCTTTTCCCCATCTTTCCTCTTAAGCTTGACCACCCAGATTACATACAACATACTAAATGCAAATAGATGAATACTACGAATTGGTCCATAGTCCACCTAAGCCCTTAACTACGCCCAAGTACTCCTGTCTATTCTCTTGTTAATATCCCCCTGCATTTGAGCAACACCCCCAAAGAAGCTAACATATACTAACCTCCATACCATCAAAGCGCCCGACCTCAACATAAAATCCTAAGTTCAAACCTCAATTCTATACATGCCATCAAATTCTGTAGGCCTCTAATGAAACTAATGAATTTACCTTAAATCACAATTAAATCCAACATCACTAAACATTGTCTCCCAACGCAAAGGAGAGATATTGGAACTATAAAAAC